TAACAAGCTCGGCTGAAAATAAACTCCCAATCCTATTATTATCGCTTTACTAATGTGGAAAAGTATGATGTCCATGTTTACATATATGCATTGCAATTTGCCAAATAACTAAATTTGAAAACTAACTCTACTAAAAGCACATCTAACAACCCATGTCGATCAACAAATAATCTTAAATTTGCCTAAATCATAATTTCATTGTCCTCCTTATTACCTAAAGGACTCGAACCACATGCATCTGGTTAGAGGCAATGCATGCAATGAGTTGATATGAAATCACGGTCAACGGTTTTGACTTCAATTATTGTTTCTTGTGGTAGATTTGTCTGTTTCTGTAATTATCCATAGGTTTTAAGTCAATGGCCAATACAATGATTGATCGTATAAAGAATTAATAAAAGGTTTTTGTAGGTTCGATTGACCAAATAAAGGTCAAACTGTTGCGCCGTTTCAAACGCAGATATCATTATCTTTTCCTAATTTAGGGAGACTGCACTATAACACCCACTTTTGGCAAATATATGATTTTATTAACCTCGTTAGTTATGCAAAGGAAGTTAATTAAAACCATAAATTAACATATTCGAATGACTTGATAGTGTCAAACTTTGTGTGCTGGACTTCTTATTATAAAATACTACACCAATAGCTGGAAGGCACGACACTGAAAAAATGGTTGCACTCCAATAGAAAATTCAAATTAAGAGCCTAATTTTACGTAGGAGATTTCAGTCAATTTTATGATATTAATTACAGACTATGTTCCAAAATTCGTACGAGGCGATCTATTGCTTAAACGCCACATTTTTTTGTCTATGCTGTTCTTCTAGCGCGATCGACTAATTAATTATCGGAGTTTAGGCAGATTAGAAAGTGCCTCGGTTATAATTTATAAAGCTGTGCATGCGCTCGCCTACATTGGCTAGGCGGATTTTTTTTAATTTTTTAATTAGTATTTAAAGTTCAAAGGAATTTAAAGTTTGTGAAAGAAACATTAATTATATAATAAAAATATTAATAATCACAAAACTATAATAACAATTATGATAACATGATTAGATCATCATATTTGACTATATTATAAAAACGATTAAGTTAGAAAGACTTTGTAAGAGGACAAAGAAGTGGCGTTATATGAATGGTGAGAATCACTTACCAACCATGAACATGCAATATAAATTAAAACGTTGTGATCACCATTTTCTCCGTATACCAATTAAATGGGTATAACAACTTAAAAAACTCATCTTTGATTTAAATAAATGTGCACAAAGAGAGTCTAATATTCGGAGTGGCTCCGTTCGGTGGGCGACAATTGTGAATAAAATTATGGCAACGAGATATACGGGTCGCTTATATATGCCCTGTGTTGGCTACAACTGTACATCATGCATACGACTCCATGACGCTTTCCCATGCATTGTGGGTTACAAAATTCGTTCAACTATCTTTTCCCCAAAAGATTATAAGCATATATATAACTTAAAGACGGAAGAGAGTACAATTGATGTGTCAAAAGACACAACTAAAACCATAACAAAATTTGGACCAACCCTCCTTGAATTTGCACCGGTGACCAAGTGGGTACAAACACCTGCAAAGCAAAACTCTATAAAAGAGGAAAAACAACTCCAAATTGGAGAGTAGAAGTCAGACACAATCGGAGTAACACAACTAAAAACAAACAAATACAAAGAACAATGCCATAGGTGGGTTTGAAACCTCAGCGTGAGAAGTTTGATTCCTTTAAGGTACATTTCAGGAGGAGAATTTTTTTTCGGGTCAGGAGTATAAGCACTAAGCAGTGCTGGAAATCGGGGCTCACTTGGGCACGTCCTGCGATTTACCTCAGTGAATCACTGAGGGGGCGGGGCATAGGGTTCATAATTAGTCTAGCGTAAGACTGGAGAGCTAGATAATATAAAATAAAAAATAAGAGATTGAAAAAGCCGACTTTTTTTATGAAAATTTTTATGGAAATTTTTTAATAAAATTCTTTTTGTTTTTCCGCCTTTTTGGGATACACACACATACATATATAAATGTATATATTTTTTTTTTATTTCACTCATAAATGGCACTGTAACATTAACGGCCTTGCTAGGGTGCCTGCAAGCCCTCGTTGCATCGTGCGGGTCGCTTGGGCATGCTGCCAGTGTCGCCGAAGCATGGCGAGCATCACCTGTGAATTTCGCATGGAAAGTCTGAGGGTCGTCGAGTCGCGCATGCATACCGATTCTGAGTGAAAATCACGCTACCAGTTGTGCCAACGCGTCATCGTGTCCCTACGCGCGCTCGATAATACATAGGTGCGACGCACCTGCGTTTCTCGGGTTTGTCGTGCGCTGGCGCCTACGACCATGTCGCATGCCACGCACAGCGCCCGCATGCGGTGCTTGCTGCCCGTTGCTGATGGCCTTCCGGCCAGTTCTTCAGCCCGCGTCATTGCCACCTCATTCGCGTGCCTGCGATCGACTTTCGTAACTGGGCGGCAGCCCATGCGTGGTCGGACGTGGCTACATGCGAGGTGAACATTGTCGAGTTGCGACTAGTCGGATTGTCGAGGTCTCCGGTCTTCTTGGTCATACGAGTTCGTCTGCAGTCAACACGATCAAAATGTACAATAATTACATAATTGATCCTAGACCCACACAGATGTTTTTACATGCTTGTCTAGAAAAAACAGTAATTCTATATGTTAAACAACCCAAAAACTTCTCGACATGTTCGACACTTTAAAAACGTGAAAATAAATTAAACAAGCACATTTTGGCTATAAGAGTGGAAACAATTAATCCTGCAAAATTGAGCTTATCATATTTCCATAAATATGGTTGCGCTTGTACACACGTTAGTGAGACAAGCTTAGAAATATGAATTTTGCACAAAATCGAATTAAACCAAGTGCTCTGATAGTTATTGGGGCTCAGTTAGGAACGTCGAATATATGCAAGTCACAGATTGTCTATGAATTAACTAGGGGAACTAAATACTAGGGTTTAAATCATACGTTTAAAATTTTCGTAGTCTCTGTACACACATACACGGCCTATGGGGACGGACCAGCGGTTCTGAAACGATGTTCTCACCTCGTCGTGATGGGTTCTATGAGGAACGTTGACAAACTGCACATCCAAATCTATTAAAAATAAATCCTAACACAGAAAAAACTACAGTTAGGATTAGGACTTACGGTTTCAAATTTTGTCGACTCTGTACAAACATACACGGCCTATGGGATCAGACTAACGGTTATGAAACGTGTTCTCTAGCCCACGTTCCTCGTTGCATATCATTTTTGAGTCGTGGAATTGCCTCCTCGGATCGCCGATCGTAGCTCCTCAGAGCCGCACGTTGTTGTCTCAGGTCGTCTTGACTCGCCTGGTGCACGTTGTTGTCAGCCTGTGCAAGCTAGTGTCGGCCCGGGCTGCTACGGGTGCTGGCAGGTCGCTAGTCGCCGAGCATGGCACGGTCTGGGTCACTGGTCGCCAAGCATCGCGTGGTCTATGCGCTGGTCTCCGAGCGTTGAGCAGTCTGCACGCTGGAGTGCGTTGGGCTCGCCGGGGCGTCACAGTGGTAGCGCGGAATGTACGCTGGTCGCGCGCAAATGTACACGGGTCGCACAGGTCGTGCACGGGTTGTGCAGGTTCGTCTGCTCCCTACGCGCGGTCATCTACTGTCTGCACGCAGTTGCTGACGGACTGCGCGCAGTCGTCGGCGAGTTGTGTGTGGTTTCTTGTGGGATGTGCGCATGTCACCTACAGTGGCACTTGGGGAACCGGCAGTGGCACGTGGGGTTGAGGCTGCGGCTGGTGAAGCTGATCATGGCGGTGGTTGCGTTTGCCTGCGTTGGTTGTGCTCTTCAAGTTCCTTGGTCGTCTGAGGTGCCGCGGGGATATATATATATATATTCACCGGGGTGCGTAAATAAGACCTCAGGATCTTCTGTTGTATAACCTTTATCCCTTCTCCGAATAGTCTTGATGGTGCGACTAAACTGAACTCACAAAGCCTCTCGATTTCTCGCCTAAGACCTCTCAACTTTATCCTAATTTTCTCAAAAATGAAAAGAATTAAATCTCAAGTTAAAAGTCATGTGTGGGACTCTTATGATGGAGGCTAAGAGACTTGATGTATTTATAGGCTACAAGAGAGACCATAAAGATGTGTTAAATATGGGCCTCCCAAGTGTGAACACAACTAGTGGGCCCATGCCCAACTTTGTGTTCCCATTTGAATAATAGAACATTTCACTAAAGTAATATTATTGCACCCTTTATTTAGCTTCAAATTATAACTAATGCGTCTCTCGGTTAATTTCTCTATTTACCTCTTCATGTTTAAGATATAACGTCTGTTAATTAATTTAATTATTGACATAACAATTAATCAACTTCTTGAACCAAAATTAATACCGCTCAATAATTTATCAGTATGTCCGAAATTAATTTGTCTGCCAGGCTTGACATAGTAATCCTTCTTAAGTTCATTTCGAGGACGTCATCAACCGGACAGACCGAGACACGTAAACAATCTTAGCGACACATCATGCATATGGCATTATTTACCAAAATACCAAATATGTTGACCTAACAAAATAAGTTTAACCCATAGCAAATCAAATAAATAAGTATAGAATACATATGCCCGCTTATCGTCTTATGCGTCAATAGAACACAACAATTGTTGAGGTCTAGATTACTTACTTGTCAATATAAAACAATCTTATCCTCTTGTAGGTCCATTTAATACATCTGAGATGTACTAGTGTAATTCATTAATTAAAGATCAACTAACTCGAAAATCACATTACAACTTTTCACGAAAGTTAGTTCAATTCTATGTGGGTTGTGAACAAATATTTTTATTTTGCAATGCACCAATAATATGATCTTTTTGTTCTAACCTATTTCAAATCATATTATCTACAATGTAAAATAAGGGAACTATGTTCGCATAAGTAAATAAACTACGAACATTCACTTGACTAAAGACACATTTCTCATTCAAAATGGAATTGAGAGTACTTACAAAGCCGAGCTTCTTCAGTAGACTCTAACAATCTCCTATACTTTAAAGCTATTGGATTTTATAAGGGTACACTATTTCAATCTCTGTTGTCAAAGAATTGTTGTCCTAACAGTCATACATCTGACTCCCAATCCCTTTAACATGGCCATCGACTGCTTTGCTTACTAAAATAAATTACTTGGTCAACAACAAGAACAAGACATAAATAATTGCAATTCTGATCATTAACATGATTTAGAAACTCCTGAATGATCTATAAAAACAAACTTCTTTTTCTTCCTCTATTTGAACTGCCCACCATTCATGTATCACTTGGCCACCACCATTGAGATTTCAACAAACTACTATAACATGAACAGCAAACAATAAAAATTGATGAGATTGTATATATCAAGATTAACAGTCTACCAAGGAACTAAAAAGAGAACGTGTCAACCAAATTTCATATTGAACAGGAAAACCAATACAAAGTTTACTCATAAAACTTTCAAGAGCTGGACTTCAAAAATCAATGGCTCCTTTGCGTGAGACAAAAGGCTACGCCGAGGACCAAACTGCAAGCAAACAAAAAGCACAGACCACATGATAATTGCATAGTGATAGTTGGTTGTAATACATGCAAGATTAAAATGACTATCATCAAGATTGAAGACATAACACTAGAAGAGAGATAATTTGAAGTTCACACTTCACAGGATTAAACTAAAACAAAAAGGGACCTCTTCGGGAATTGGCTGTAAAGTGTCGCTGATATATCCTACTGAAGGCGGTATCAAAGCTCTTCTCTTTCCTGAAGTGTCAATTACATTTCACAAGTTCAGGAAATTTACATAATTTCCTAAAAAGACATATCGAGAAATATATATCACTTGTATGCTTGACAACAAAATTAATCATCAGTTGTCGGAAGAAAAAGTTTGAACTAACCTCCAACCTTCATGCCAACCAAAACCTCTTGTAGGCCTCTAATTATCTGTGCGTGTCCAAAGGAAAGTATAATTATGCTCGATAAATTATCAAATTTAAAAGTAAAGAAAAATGGATATGGCGACTCTAAGATATGTATACACCAACATTTATGGGGGAAAATTTACTTGAATTTCCTAAATAGTTGATTCACCATATCCCGGGAACACATTGTAAAGTAATCCTCTTGGTTGGGTCCAAAGAAAAACTAATCTTAGTTGACTTGTTTATAAGTTGATAGTTGATACATTACTTTTCAGAAAAATTAAACAATCACATCTTAAAAGGCTGCATTAGCTTGGTCACCTCACATTATTTTTAATTATGATAACATGAAGCAATTTTGATCCATTGCTCAAACATTGTTTCAGATGAAGGTAGAACTAGAAAGTGAAGCAATGGGCCAACACAATTATTAGGCAACACCATTTTACGCAGTTTTTTACTCTTTCAAGAAAGTATTAACTATGCTAACCTTCTCACCATCCAGAGGTAGTATAACAGGTGAACTCTCTCCGCTAAACTGATCCACAGTGCTGCAAGGAAAATATCATGTCAAAGTTCAAGAGCATCCTTAATATTGCAAAATATATTTATTACGATTTTGAGATGGAAAAACGTTAGATCTATAGTTATACCTGTGCACAAAATATCCATTTGACCTGCGACATACGTAATTAAATTCGATTGTGTCTCCTTCAAGAGCTTCCTGGCCTTGTCCTTCAACAATATCTAGGACAGATATTTTAAAGTACTGATAAATGAACTAATCGGCATACATCCTTTGATAGCTCAAAGTACATAAACTTTTCCGAATGATGAATGAATAAATACTCGGTGAAAAACCATTTTAGCCCATGAAAATACAAATTCCAAATCCTAAAATCCGGATATAATTTACCCTGTATCCTCACTCCACTAGCAAGCTTCAGCGTCCTGAATGCTTCAAAATCCGAGCAGCAATTGTGTATAAGAACTGACTCAATTGCATATGAAATATTTTTATATTAGTAGGTTCAAGAAGCATGTATACCTAAGCACTTCCGGTTCCTTCAAATCCTGAATTGGGGCCGCGAAAACAGTATTTGCAAATATCAAATTTACTCCCAAAAGCCGCAAAAACAGCCTCCTTTGAACTTTATCTGATGTAAGAGAACAATTTCCATACCCCATGTTCCTTTTTGCATAAACCTTGAGTTCCTTTGTTATTCTAAAACTGCTGTCTTCAAAGTATGACCGACATGAAATAAAAGCAGAACAGCATAGTTACTTTAAATATGTCATATTTGCAATGATTATGTAAAGCTAAAAAAGGTTAAATGTTCTAGTTACAGAAATGAAAATCAACATAACTGGAACTTCAATTATCCATTTAAAGTTTCTACAATGAGATCAATGACTATATCACTAATCAACTGCAGTAAATCCTTCCTGATAGAGCTTGACTGGCTAATTGTAAAAGAAAAACCCCCATAAGCACAGATTTCATCAAAAAAATGTGAACTTTCATTTGATTGTCAAAAGTTAAAACCTAAATGCTATCAATAATTATCATCACGACTTGATCTGCAGAGGACGTTTTGAATAGTAAATAAATTTATCTAATGGCATCCACATCAGGTGAGAGTTAACTGATTTGGAACATTGTAGGGAAAAGTAAAGGCCATTAAAAATCCCCTATTGATAGCATAAGTACAACCCCTAACGAAAAAACGAAAATTCCTAGAGAAACAGAAAAATAAAAAATATAAAAATAAACACACACAAACAATAAACTACGAAAAGAAACATGATGTCACCTCGAGATGGGAGGAAATTGTAGAGGGACTTGAAATGCATGAACTGCCATTGTTGAGATTGATAGCTTCAGTAGAGAGGAGCAGAAGAGAGGTGAAGATTTAACCTATTGAGGAGGGATTGATTATATTGTCGAGATTCTCACCTTCTGTCTACAATCCACACCACGTATCTTTGTAAAAAATATAAAATTTTTATTTTTCTTAAACTTAAATAATTTAATTTTATATAAAATATTACTTTAGATTTTAATTAAATTATTAAATTATATTTTTTTAATCATAATAATTAAACCTCATACATTAAATGAAAATATCAACTCGTGTTGAATTTTTTTTTTTTACTTATATCATATAAAAATATCGATATTATTTACTATTACATAAGTACAAAAATATATATCTTAAATAAATAAAAATAATATGGTGATATTTATAGTTTTATTTGATATAATTTAATTTAGTTTGATAAATAAATTTAAATTTTATTTATAAGAATATATATTACCGATTTGTATTTTATATATATAATATGGATGTCAAATCGAAAATCGTTAAAAGATGGTTAATTTGGTATATTATATATAAAAAATAAAATACAAACAAAAAAGTTATAAAATCTCAAAATAAGAAAAAGAAACATTTATAAAAACTAATGAATGAATTATATAAGAAAATGAAATATGATGTATGGTAATGTAGAAAAACGAAACATAAAATAGTTTATGCTAACTAATTGTAGAAATAAAGAAGGAAAAAAATCAATTATGGATTTAGTGTGATAAAAAATATTAATTTATATACAAACTTAACTCCAAAGCATGGTTTTTTGCCAAACAGAATTCTGAAGCATGAGAGTTTGCCACGTAGGCTCAGCGCATTCTGAAATTATATAGGAGATTTCAAATGACAACTAAAAACTAAACTTTGATAATGATTTTAAAGTAAAAGCTTGAAAATAAAAAATCTTAAGTTAAATAGTACAATATTTATCGGTAAATTTCTATTATATATTTTAATTTTCGATATCTAACATTTAAATAAAAAATAAAAAGTTTAGTGGTTAGAATTAAGTTGTAGTTAAATAAAAATAATAATTAAAATACATATACTTCAAATTAAACTATGACTTACCTCATTATATTTTCGTTGTATGTTTTTACTTTTTAGTATGTTCGCTTTATTATTTAAATATTTATATTATGATATTTACATAAACATTTGTGAGAAATAATTCTTAGATGTTATTTTTGATTTCATTCAAATATTATGATGATTTTTAGAATCAACCATCCAGTTTTATTATATGCAAATATATTTATAATATTTCTATAAAAATAATTTTTTTATATCTATATAGCTTACGCAACGCTATTTACGCTACGCAGTATAAAGACCAAAACGCGACGCATTACGCTATACACGATTTAAAACACTGCTCACTACCTGCCTTCTCTACCAAGACCCATCGAAAATCGAAGAGATATTTGAATAGAGGCGAGTCGTTGTCGCGAATTTCTCATTCCCACTCTTTTTATTTCATGATACTTGTCGGTTGTGTCTCGTAAGGCCATTAATGTCTTTTGTATTTCAATAATAGTGACATATTTTTTATATACACTCTTTTTCACTTGATCTAGTTATAATTATAGTTATTTGCATAAATTATAGATTTATATATTAATATTCAAGTTTTAGTAGAATATTTATTTTTTAAATCAAATATTAGTTTAATTTTTTTTAATCATCGTTATGAAGGAGATGAAACATAATCTCTTTTCAGAAAGAACAAAAATGTAAAATTAGCTAGTTTGTAATATTTGTAACACTATTGTTGCAGCAAAAATTGTTTAAGACCGATTTTGAATAGGTTGGGACTAAACTTGCAGTTCATTCTATTCTATGGGACCAATTTTGTAGTTTTCACACTTACTTATTAATCACATAATGGTTCCATCAAAATCCAACTTTTAATGGCCAAGGAAATAATATTGCAACAAAATGATGTAAAGGACAAATCTTTACAACTCTTTGGACAAAATTTGCAACACAATCAATCCTATAAAACTAAATTTACAATTTAATCATGTAATTCATCTCGGTCTCCATATTTTAATGAAATGTTGACATTATGAAATTTTTTTAATATTTAAAAAAATGAATGTATATATAAATAATTTCTTTATGTTTATAATAAAAAAAAAAGATTGAGCACACGTATATAATGTTATGAAAATGTTCAACATAATATATTTTAATCGATGATCATGACCAACAAAATTTAGTTACTTTTCTATAAATATAAAATAATATTTGTAAATTAGTTTGTTGTACAAATCCTTTATGTATGAACAATAAAAATTAATTACATGTACTTGTTTTCTCTCTCTGCGAATTTCCCCCAAACTTGAACAGTAAAACCTAGGTCCTTCATTCTTCGATCGCCTCTTCCCGACGGGAAGCTTTGCACGGCCGTGCCGAGGTCGCCGCAGGTCAGGGCTCCCCGGTCTCTCTCTATGGTTGTGATTTCGCGGTTGTTTGGAGCAACGCCGGTATGTGTTTCTCCGGCGGAACTTCGAAGCTGCGGGACTCCCCGATTCACGGCGGCGGGGCTGGGTGGCGGTCTCTGCCTTCTGCTGGTCGGAAGCTGGAGTTGAGGTGAGTTCCTCTTTCCCTAATCCATGTCCGATTAGGATTACATATTCTATTAAAAAATATCAATCGCCCCTCTCTTCCCCTAATCCATGTCCGATTAGGATTACATATTCTATTAAAAAATATCAATCGTGCACTCTGCTCCTAATCCATGTGTGATTAGGATTACAAATTCTGTGACATCAAACTATTATTATAAATAGACCACGCAGCCCATATACTAAAAAAAAGAAAAATTGAAAGAAAAACAAAAATTTACGCATTTGTTTACGTACGTACGTATGGCTACTGCGAAATCCGCCGTTTGTTTGCTGCTTATTTTGTCGTGCTTTTGCTCCCTTTCAATGGTGAAGGCTAATCCCCTTGGGATTTGCCGTTTCGACAAAATCTTTCAGTTAGGAGATTCAATTTCAGACACTGGAAATTTGATCCGTGAGAGGAGGGTGGGGCCCGCCACGGCCTATGGACGCCTACCCTACGGCCAAGACTTCTTCCACAGGACACCCACTGGCCGTTGTTCCAATGGTCTTCTCATGATTGATTTCATAGGTATAGTTTAATCTTCTCATGATTAATCTTCGTTTTCTTCAATCTTATTTGGTTTAGTTTAATTAATTTCCTAATTAATGCATACTAATTAATGGATTAATAATTAACTCCAGCAAGAGCCGCAGGACTTCCTCTTCTGCACGCGTACAAGGACCCAAAAGGGGAATTCAGTCACGGGGTCAACTTTGCTGTGGCGGGCTCCACAGCCTTACCGTTAGACACGCTGGCTGCCATGCGTGTATTCTCCCCCGGCACAAGGAGCTCTCTCCACGTCCAGTTGGACTGGCTTTTCACATATCTCAACTCCACATGCACTCATCATCATCAAGGTACGTATTCATTGATTGATATTCAACTACTAACATCAATCCAACCCAAATAAATTATTTATTTATAAAGATTTGATCGACCAATGTTTTGCTCGAATTAAATTAACAGATTGTGTGGAGAAAGTCCAGAACGCCCTCTTCATGGTGGGTGAAATTGGAGGCAACGACTACAATTTCGCGACATTTCAGGGGAAGAAGTCGATGGACGAGCTGAGGCGCATGGTGCCGCGAGTGGTCAAAACCATTCTCTATGGTGTTAGGGTAAGTCCTAATTAATGGATATGAACACATGTAAACAAAAGAAGGAAGTAATTTATTTATCTTTTTACTTTTTACCAACCAATATTTTATTTTGCAGAGAACAATTGAGTTGGGGGCAAAGAGAGTGGTGGTGCCCGGGAACTTCCCAGTCGGCTGCATCCCGATTTACAAGACCGCTTTCCAAACAAACAATTCATCCGCATACGACAATAACGGATGCTTGAAGCATTTAAACGAGTTTGCAGAGTACCACAATCGGGAGCTTCAAAACGGGATTAACAGGATGATCCAAGAAAAGCCGAATGCAATCATTGTATACGCCGATTACTACAAGGCATACGAGTTCCTCCTCCATTTCGCAAAGCATCATGGTACGTAAATTAATATATAGCTAATAATAATAATCAAATACTTGACAAATAATAATGTGTAGAAGGACTAAAATTGAAGATATATATTGGGTGGTGCAGGAATGGATTGGGAGAGGGCGTGCTGTGGGATTGGGGGAAAGTACAATTTCAACACGGGGAGAATGTGTGGGGCCCGTGGAGTTCCGGTTTGTAGGAATGCTCATAGGTATGTGAGTTGGGATGGGATCCACATGACTCAACAAGGTTACCGGATTATGTCTGGCTGGTTGGTTCGCGACCTGCTCCCCAAGCTCCATTGCTTGGAGAGGCTGCCCTGATTGTATAATTAACTCTATAAATAGGCTTCAAACCACCAAGTTTTGTTCTGTTTTTTCAAATTAAATTTTCAAGTTAGTCTGAGTGTTTCAACTTAAGAGATTAGTTGCTTTTCATGCAAAGAAAAATAAACAAATTTGTTAGTTTTTTTTGTTTTTTGGTTTCCTTTTCCTCTGTTTTCTTTCCCATGAAGGATGTTTTTTTTTTTTGGGAAATTAATGAATTTTTTTTTCTTATCTTATTGTGCGTATTGATACACAAAATACTAAAATATACAACTAAATTATAACTTATGTGTACACAAATAAGATTATGATTTGTTGCACCATCTTATTTGTGAGTTTTCAGTAGAAAAGGATCTAGATCGCTTGTTGTATTTATTATTGTAATTTATACTTATCGTCTTAATCATATGTACCAAACAAATTTCACATTCATGTTTTTTGCTCTAATAAATGTATGAAATTTGTTAAAGATGCTAAAGATAGCTGGAGACTGAAAAAAGTTGAGGTGTATAAAAAGAGAAAGGGGCGTTGCTTTGGGGTAAGTAGTAGTTCAGTTAAGAGGGGTGAGCTTTATTCATGTTTTTCTATTTCTCAAGTGTTCCATTTCAGTGATCCTTTTTATACTTGGTTTTGGTGATTTGTAGGGATTAAAAAAAAAAAACTTATTATTAAATACCAAAACAAACAAATAATTAACGCTAGACAAACTCCTACACATATATAAACTTTTTAAATTTGAATGTTATAATTAAAAAAACAAAAATATGACATTTAATTATTTTTGTTAAAATAATATGACGGTCATCCGTAATGAATTTATCTCGAATTTATAAGTAGTTAATATGATCACTAATACTTGTGTATTACACGGGTGTTGAATTAGAAAGCTTTTGTAAAAAAAATTAAATTTTTTATTTTTTTAAAAATTAAAATAATTTAATTTTATATAAAACATTACTTTGGGTTTTAATTAAATTGTCAAATTATATTTTTTTAATCATAATAATAAAACACCCGTACATTAAATGAAAATGTCAACTCGTGTTGAATTTTTTTACTTATATCATATAAAAATATCGACATTATTTACTATTACATAAGTACAAATATATATATATATATATATATCTTAAATAAATGGAAATAATATGGTGCTATGTATATGCATAAGTGTAGAATATGTTTATATAATATTAAGTAAAATAAATTAATTTTTTTACTTAATTAGATGCCTAATACATCAAGTGTCGTATCGGTCGTGCTTCACAATTTTTTTAACTTTATATGTAATTTAGAATTTAGATAAATAATTATTTATTTTTATTACATTGATTTGAAATAAATATCATTTTTAAAAGAATATATACCAATTTCTATTACTTTATAGTTATTTTCTAATTAATTTTAATAAAAAATTTTATTATTATTATAAAGATAAATATAATTTATTTATTTTATATATACAATATGGATGTCAAATCGAAGTTCATCAAAAGATGATTAATTTGATATATTATATATGTAAAACCTATAAGAAATATATAAGTGATCAACTTTTAAAATATATTTGCAATTCAATTGTTATAATAGAAAATGATATTAAAATACAATTAATACAAATCTTAATTTATATCCAAGTCTAACTCCAAAGCATGAATTTTTGCCAAATATGATTCTGAAGCATGAGAGTTTGCCACGTAGGCTCAGCGCATTCTGAAATTATATATAGAGGGGATTTTGAGACTTATTAAGATTTTAGACTTTTTAAGATTTTTCATAATTTAGAAAAATCACGTGAAATGAAGAAGTTTGGAGGTGAGATTTGAAGTAAAGAATTTATATAAATTTTTTTATTTAGAAATACCACCAAATCTTAATAAGTGTTAATAAATCTTATTCTCAAATAAGTAAATACCTCATAACTTTTGTAAGACTTTTTAAAATCTCAATAAGATATCCCAAAGACTTTTAAAAGTTTTAAAAAGTCTTAACAAATCAAAACTGAATACACAAGAAATTCTAAAATCTGAAAAAATCCTTAAAAATCTCAATTGAACTCCGATGTTTCATTGATTTTGGTTTGTGGCAGGAGGAGATAGGGTCCTACACTCATACTAAATTTTAGTGGCTTATATTTCTTTTTTTTTTTTTTTTTAAGAAGNGATTGTATTATTTGCATCTAGTATGTGGTGCGATGCACGGAACAATAATTATAAAATACATGCATCAAACTAATGAAATATTGATTACTTTTCTATATTATTGTTATTTTTTTCATTTATTTTATAATATCTATAATAATTCAATATATAATTTATATGTTTATCACTCGTTATAAATAATTTCAATCTAAAGTTCGTGTTTATAAATAGGAATAATGAAAATTTAACATTCATACATTATAAATAAATATTACTCGAATAATATTTCTCTCTCTCTTCCCTTATTCATATCTTATTACAATATATTATGTCGATTTTTAAATAAGTTGTGCTAACGTATATTACGTCTTATCATACAAATTTTATCATATTCATGAGTGAGACATAATATGGGAGTCGAAGGTTTTTCCGCGGTGACCCCTCCCGGACATATGTTGTAGATCACTGTAGTACAAGACGAGGAGCGGTTCGTGTTGTATCAATTTAAATCTGTTCAGAGGCAATTTGCGTATCAAGTACAATCACATTTATCCTCAACAACAAACAAAAAAATGAAAATGTTGAGCATATCCAGTCTTGAATTGATGGTGTGATCTTTACCACCCAAATCAGTTTGTTTGCTTGTGTGATGTGGAAAAAGAAA